CTTGTTCACAGATTTCGTCACTGGACTCTGCACAGGGAACCCACACTCTCTTCCCAAATTCTTCATCTGGCTCTGTGGTGTTTTCCAGAACAAAGAGAAAAGAAAGAACCTTCATTGTGGGCATGACTGTGAGGAAAATGGTCACAAGTATCCAAAGTTTTGCTCTTTTCCAATTCATTACATCTTTCTATGTGCCCACCACCCCCTGAGCACACTGTCCCGGGGTTCACCCCCAGCTGCCTCATCCCTGTTCAGTTTTGGAAGGTCCCCCAGGCTTCTCCTTAACTCATGCAGATGGGCAGGTTTCTCTTCTGACTGGCCCAGGCAAATACAGTGGCAACATGGGGCCATCTAGGTTCTGCCTGGCAGCCACAGGGTGCATCCCAACCCATGACGGCTGGGAGTAGAGCCACGGACAGCCCGATTTGGGGAGGCATGGGAAGAGCAGGACAGTGTCCCATGATGCCAACCCATCTGCTTTGTTTAAGAGTTAAAGCAGGGAGCCAAAGCCAAGGATTACCACATTGTAAAACCATTTAAAACAGGGTAAGTGGTTGTGATTCAGCATCATGACTCTAGCAAACCCACTCTGTCCTGTGCTTCCACGCTTCTGGTACAAAAATGAGATCTTCCCTTCTCCCCCTTGCACCTCCTCACCCCCTTTGTCCACCTCTCAAGCTCTTCACATGAAGGTGAAATATTTCACATTTTCACCTGTGGTAATGCAGATCAGAGAGTGTTTGCTTTGCTTTGCTTTTCACTGATTTTGCCCAAGGCATCCTTTTAAGCGGCAGCCTGTGCAAAGATAATAGGTGGCACAATTCTCTGTAACTGGAATCAGCAACAAATCAGCCATCTGCCACTCTAGGGGTCTGAGATTAACCCAGCTACTGGACCGTGACTGCAAAGCATTTGCACATTTAGATTACAGAAATGCGAGGCTACCGGTCCAAAAAAAAAAAAAAAAAGACTGGGAATGGGGAAGGTGTGGGGAGAAGGGGTGCAAGACAGCCTTGGAAGAGTCCTCTGGATTAACCCTTCCAGGTGAAAGTCATCTCATAACAACTCCAAGCAAGCAAGGTTTCAGTATAGAGTGTTAAAGGGAAAAGAGGTTTGAAGTAAGCAACTGGCAATTCATGAGATATCATGTTTCAGGGAAATACATCCAGAGACACCTCTGATACAGGGAGGAATAAAGACAAAGACATACAGCTGCATTGCCAATGCATTGCAATGCTCAGTGGGAGGCTATGGCCAGATGGTATACCTGGACCATTTGGGAGGAGAAACATTTCTGCCCCAAGATGGACAGGCTCCCTTACAAAAGTTCCCTTACTCCAGAGCACTGCCAAGACACTGAAGAAATACAATAGATCTCTGCTCTGAAATATAAAGCTTTAGGGAGGTTTCTCCACTTGCTGTCCCCAAATATTTGTTCCCAAATGACACACAATACAATGCTACTCCATGAGCGTGGATGCTGTTGGTCTACATTAACTTTTTGTCCATACATTTGAGATCCTGTCTATAAATCCATTAAGTAATTGTTATTTGTTAAGTGGAGTTATTTGTTAAGAGGTGTAACTGAGTAGGAAATACAAGCTGGTGCACATCTAGAAGTGTGACCCGTGCTTTGTGCAGGTGCATGAGGCTTAGGAAAGCTGCCCAGGTCTCCTTTGCTCAATTTCATGTGGGCTTTAATCCCCACTCCTGCCATTTGCTTTTGCAGGTTGGCATCCCATGGTGAGGGATCTCAGGTTAAAAAGAGGGAGCTGTGCCCACAGGAAGAGGAGCAGCACCAGCCAAAACCATCAGGAAAGGAATTTCAGTCGAGATCTGCATGGTATGTGCCCTGGGTGAGGATGGTAGCTTGACTATATGGCTCATCTCACCGAGTCTGAAGAGATAACAGAAAAGCAAACAGCAAGCCCATGTCTGCATACCCAGACATGTATTTTTATATACGTACTTTCTTCACTAAGACCAGATGGAATCTGATGGAAGGCATACTGACTTTTGCCACATTTTTTTCACCCACTCCAATGCTTCCCGGCCAAGCACTGCAAACCCCTCACTTGTGTCAAAGAGGCATCTCCTTTGCTCAAAACCAAATCAGGCTGCAGCAACCATGCCAGCCAAGGTCAAAGCACAGCTGGGAGGAGGAATGGAGAGAAACCCATTACTGTAGACATCCTCCCTACAATGCTGGCAAGTGTTATCCCAGGAAAAAGTGCCTATCCTAGCAATGTTAGTTTGGGAATGAGCCTGGAGAAGAGGAGGATGAGGACAGAGGGCTGGATAACACATTTAAGTCACAATGAGTTCCACTCTATTTATCACACTGTTTCCAAAAGGCATTACCTGAGCAGAATCAGGTGTTCCAAAACCAGGCGTACATGTCCAAAAACAAATGTGAGGTTTGAAGTGGTTTGGATATGTACTAGGGCAGGATTTTCAGGTGAGGAAGAGGTCTTGGGGATCATACCACACCTGGGACCATGAACTGGGCCAAGGTAACCACCCCCAAGCTCCTGAGACGTGCAAGCTAATGAGCCGCTGCCCCTGCTTTGGAAAACACTCCTTGAACTTGACCTGCTGACTGTGTCAGTGATGCAGCTGCTGGTAAAACAGGACCTAGACCTGTTTTCAAACCCGAAGGCAGGAGTTTCTCTTTCCCTAGTCTCCAATTTCTGCAAAGTCAACCTGAAACGTCAGATCCAAATCCCAGCATGAGCCAGAAAGAAATGTGTGGTGGGGGGACAGATCTTTGTGTTCAGTTTCAAATACTGGGCTTCTGCAAGAATGCTTGTGCTGTTAACAATTTTTAAATGGTTAAAAAATATATCAAAAGGCTGCCCCCCAAAAAACAACAACAACAAAAAACTATTTGCATGTACCTTTCCCTAGTTTGTGAATGAAGGGAAGAGGGGAGCCAGAGGGCAAAAGGTTTTCTTTAGACAAAAGTGACAGCAAAATGCCAGGTGAATCAACCAACCTTACAAATTGCTGTCAAAGTTTCAGCCTTGTATGATTATCACTATTTTTTTTTCTGCCCAGGCAGACTTGCAGAAAGGGTTTTTTGCAGCAGAAACCCCTGAATGGCATGAAGCAGGGGCCCAGCAGAGCCAGGCACCTACACCAGGCATCCTGGAAGCTGCCTCATCCCTCGCCAAATGAGAAGCACCGGAGAGCAGTGAGGCAGGCAACACTGCACCTTGCAGAGCTTAGCGTGTCCTACAAGTAACCTTGCATCATGATACAGAGCAGCGAGAGCAGCCTTATGGGTACTGCAAGAGGAGGAGGACAGTGAGGAGGAGGGGAAGGAGTGGCAATGGGAAAACAATCAGAAAACTCCCAGGGAATCAAGTCTTCTCTTCCTTGCTAGGAAAAATATATGAAAATTAAAAATCCCTCTATGTAGGGATTGCAGGAGAGGTGGGCAGGGGGGGATTTATTCCTCGTTCTTGGTTACTCACTTATAATCCTATACTCGAGAGCTTGATAATGCACACACCCAGGCTGGAAATGGTGCTGGTGGGGAACCAGCATTTCTGCCCAGTGCTTGCCATGCTTTGCCCGGGGGCAGTGCTGCTGGGGGTGCAGGGTGCTGCCCAGTTCCCTGTCGCCCCGTTGCTCTACCTGGACCTGTGCAAAGCCAAGAACAAGGATCCCTAAACCCTGCTGAGGGTGGACTGGAAAGGAAGAGAGTCGCGTTTAAAAGGCAGAGGAGGAGGGAGAAGGCTCCTGAAGCTGGCTGGCGGCCCCGCGCCACAGCCATTCTCATTCCCGGCACGTTTTGCTGCTCTCGAGAGCAGCCCTGCTTGGAAATATTAGTGCGGCACAGAGCGCCGGTTTCGAGTCGCTGCAGCTCCTTCTTGGCACCGGTTCAGCTTTTTGTCTTTTCTTCTCCTCCAAGCGCCCAGCGGAGGGAGGAGGAGAGAAAGGACGAAAACAAGGCGCTCTGCTCTGCTGCTGCCTGCCTCCCCAGGCACCCCTGGCATTGCCCCGCGTCCCCAGACCGCTCCCAACCACCCCACTCAGCAAACCAAAACCCCTTCCCACAGTAGCCCGTTCGTAGCCTCCTTCCCCCCTCCTGCCACCCCTTTTCATCACTCTCTCCTTTGTGCTCATCTAAATTTTTCCAGCCAAGCGTTGCAACCTTCCACCCCCCCTCCTTTCTCCTCCACCCCAGCCCTCCCACCTCTTCCACTGGAAAAAAATAAAAAATAATAATAAAAAAAATCGTGCCATGCTTGCCAATGCCCTGGCATCTCTTCACAGCTGCAACAGCAGCTCCTTTGAGCTCCCCCAGCCCCCCCGGGTGCCTGTGAGCCGGGGGGACCCTGGGCTCTCGTGTGCACACCCACGTGCACATCAGTGGACATTCTCTGTCTACATCCCTCGACATCGCTTTAAATACAAACTTCCTGCAAGCCTGCCTTTGGCAGCCGAATCCCTCCTCGTGCTCATGGGGCGGGTGAGAAACAGAAGTGGCATAGCGAGGGAGGGAGGGTGTATTTTTTTAAGCAACCCAAACATGGCACAGAGCTCTTCCACCAACTTCTTCCCAGCCTGCTGTGCTGGTAGCCAGCTGCTGGTTCCAGCCTGGCACCAGCTTTGATTTGTTTTTCTCTGCTCTTAAACCCCCTCCTCCCAAATATTTATTTATTTATCTTTATTTTTATTTTTTAAAATCCTTTTTCCTTCTTAGCGTGCCCACAGGAGGGGCTCCCGCCTGCTCCCACCCACAAATCTGAAGCAGCACGTGTGGAAGGAGCGGCAACGGGAGTGAAACATGATGCAACGCTCAATGCACCGAGAGGGAGGGGGGAGAAAACCCCATATGTACACACAACATATGTATGCTCTTCTCCGAGGAAGAAGGAGGGAGGGCGAGATGCCTTGAAAGCAGGCAGAACAACCCTCACACACGCCAGGATGAGAAAGTGCCAGCCCCTCTCCATGGGGGAGGTTTGGTGGGGGGAGAAAAATGTGTTTTCCCCATGGGAAAGGACCCAGCAGAGAAAACTTTCAGCCAGCAACATGATTCCAGTTAAACCAGAGTATGAAAC